GAGAGAGAGAGAGAGAGAGAGAGAGAGAGAGAGAGAGAGAGAGAGAGAGAGAAATTCGGGATCGGTTCGCTGATCGGGTATATTCTCGTGTTACACGCCAAGCACCATGTATGAGAAAGATTGGAGGACTTGAAGCTGACGCAGAGGGGTTGACGAGTCACGTGATTCCAAAGTTCTCTCTACAGATATTCGACTACGGATTTACATGCTTGATCATCGCAGTTGCGATATATGACATGCTAATGTCATATTAGTGATATATATTGCTCTATTATCATTGATATTTTTTTATTATTTTTTTGCGATTGATATTATCCGGGAGCGTACATGAAAATTGCATGTTTGTTAGATTTTCAATGTGTTTTGTGCTTCATATAAAGCACAAGAAAATTGAATCAATTGTTTTGAAAATAACATAAGATCGCTATTTAAAAAATTTGATATACTAATATTTATGCGCGTTATAAAAATTGATATCAAATTAGCTTATATATATAACAGATGTTATTATTTGAATATATTTTTTACGTCATTTAAAAATAACATTTATATTCTAAAAATAGAACAATCTTCATTTTTACTTGAATGATTTCCAGTCTTGAATTTATATTGTTTTCAAAATAATTTATTCAATCGCTGGTAATTTCAACGACTTATCGATTTACTGAACATCACCTCGGTTTGACTCGACATCGATTTCATGATTGTGAAATTCTTTCCATTTCTTCTTTATACGCGAGCTAGAAAACTGACAGAAAAATTTCAAGCTGTTGTGTTTTTTTGCGGCAACAAAACTTGATGCGCGTAATTCTTATGCGATAAAAGAAATGCGCGTTCTTTTTTTCGGAATTGATTAACGATTCGACATCGTTCGACTCGAGCATAAATTCGTACGAAATCTCTGGCGGTGTGCATATCGTTCGGTAGATTTATGACGTACATTGACGATCGTTTGCTCGGCGACTGCCTGTCCCGGAAGTATAATATTTCCGAATCGATCGTACGCCGTCGATCGGAAACCGCGAATAATCGTATTGTCACCGACGTGTACCGTACGCATGATTACGTCGATAAATCTTTGCCGTTTAGTATAAAGAGCAGAAGTCGCGATATTCTCCTATTCAGTTTGAGAAAATTTAAATATTTTCTATGAGTGGAAATATTCAAATAATACAAAGAATATCATTAAATATACTAAGCAAACTTTTCATAAGAGTTTTCATAAAGTATCGAAGTTTTAAAATTGCTGTAAAAATGTATTGATAGTTTTATCGATTGTTGCGCGTATTTTTTAATGATTTATTTCGAAATAGATAAAAATATTTGATTTAATATCCTTTGCTTTTGGGAATAGTTTTCTTGTTTGAATTACAAATAGAAAGAGAATTTTCTTTATTCGTCTACTTATAAAACAGATCTGACAGAAAAGATTTAAGAGAAAATGTAAATTTTAAAACACTTTTGAATTCTTTAAAAAAATCCAAGTATAGATCTTTCGAATGAAGTGAATGAACGTGCATTAAGCCCTTTCCATCAAGTATCAAAAAAATCACGCGGTTGTACGCGGCCGAAGCAATTGGCGCTAATAACTCATTCTATCCGAATCCCGTCGTCCCAAATATAATTGAAAAATACCAGAGGACAAAATAACGCACGAGTGCTTCAGCGGCAATCCATTCCGGCACGGTGGAAACAACGGTGATTTTCTGCGCGATTTTGTAATTCGACGAGAGGACCGTCGCGAAAGTGCAGTGAGACAAATGTTTCATGGACATCCGGACACATCGCGCTGGTAGCACCGTCGACTCATCGATAGTTGCGGCGCGGTCGAAGGTGGTACGAAGATCATCGACGATATGTCCTCGGAAATCCACGGACTCTCGTGAAAAAGTACGTATTATCTCTCGTTCGCGGGATATATATACGGGGTTAACGTATCTCGGCGATTTGGAGCTGCGACCGGAAAGAGTTATAGACCAATCCGATCGTGTAATTCGAAAGTGCCTATTTATTAAATCTAGTCGAGCGTTATGGCACATTATTGTCATTGCTTGAATTCCGTTCCGCTCGTTCGATTATTGCCTTCCGGCTTTGTTTATCACTGACTGATTTGCGTGTTTAATCGAAATGTCATGTTATAAATAATGTGCGATATTTCTACTCTTGCTTCGATAATAAATTAATAAAATTTAGATATTTATTATATATAATTTATATATCATTTATTATAATATTATTTATATATCATTATTGTTCTGTTATAAAATTTATTATTTCTACGACGTCGCTGACAGTAGAGAATATTTCGACGCTCGATTATTAAAATTAAACATATCAGATTCGATAAATTTTTCTCCATTATTATTCGTTTATTATTATTCGGTTAACACTTTGAGAATGTTGACGTAACATCATCAATCTTTTTATTCCATTTTTTTTTTCATTCTTTGTCTTTCTCTCTTTCTCTTGATACTACTCCGACTCTCCCATGATGACTTCAAACGATTCCCCGAGTGTACTTGAGTCGAAGAGCTCTTACAGTTACAAAGATATATGTATTGTCGATGGCGAATAGTGTATTCATGTATTTCTCTCGTTTCGTAAAAAATACGTGTTTGCTACGATCGCCCGCATGAAGGACTGTGTAAACGATGCGCATTTTTGCAGCATAGAGATTGATTGTAAGCATGAGGGAAGACCGTTCCAAAATAAACATATATTTTTTAGTTTTTTTATCAGAGTACGCTTGTTATCATAATTTTTACCGTGTGTAAATGGTACATATTTGTAAGCTGTAAGGGGAAATAAAAATGCAAGCCCGAGGAAATATTGCTCCAACATAAGCGCGCGCTGGTGTTGATCCGTATTATCGCACTTTCACGTTAACGCGTTCTTCGATCCTAAACGCAGATCGTCACGAATAATGCAATGCTATTCGCCTGGCTTGTATAAAACGCACTCGTGATCGTCGAGTTTTTGTAATCTCAAGATTCTGTTTGTCGCGGTGTACACAAACCCCGTTAGTAGCAGCAACTTTCCTCGTTAAGAAATGCTGATCTGAATGAGCTCATTCTTACGGTCGTTCGCTGTATACCGAAGAAACTCCCGCAAAAGAATTTCATCATCTTCTTTAATTTTTTTTTTCTCCCGGCTTTTCTTATCGTTTTTCTGCCTTTCTCGCCCTCGCCGTGTTAACGCGGTCTGTTGCCGCCGCCGCCGCCGCCGCCGCTCGACGCCGGTAGTTAAAAACTTTTAATAATAGATAAATGAGCTGAGAGTTGCGATTGTCCCTGCGAACATTGTTCGAGGCAGGACTGAGTTACCAATCATTTTTGTGGCAAAGTAGAGAAGAAGATGTTAGATACAATCTCACGGTGAAGCCAGATGTTTCTTAATGGAAATTAACAATGCTGTATCTTGATGAATATAGCATTGTGTAAATAAAGACTTACCCGTTTATAAAGATGAAATCATAAATGTGTGATGTGTTAAAGAAAATAAAAATTTCTTTTAATTTTGATATCTCTCTTATCTCTCATCTTCCGATGATTTTTAAATGTTGATAGTAACCGGCAACAAGCTTTTGAAGAAAGAATGTTGTACAAGCGATAAAAAACTGAAACGCAGAACAAATAATATAATAATCTTAATCTTATTAGATGTATTCTTTTCACGCGACATAATAATAATTATGCACGTGGCTATGCGCTTTGCGCGTGATTTGGATCGCATATCAGCCATTATTCGCGGCGCGAAACCGAGAATACACGCCGAGTCGCTTTTCAATCCGTTCACTTCCGGAATGCAATTACGCAGCGTTTTGTCGCACTTTACGCGATATGTTTGCGTTCACGCGATTTGTTGTCGAGTTTTACATGGAGATCCATGATAGATTGCGAGATGGAATCGCAGCGGGATACTGATATCAAGGAACAGTATGCAATTATATATATTTTCTGCCTGTAACTAGGAATTTTTGTTATAAATTATATCATAGAATGACACTTCCAGGCTTTTCTGGACGCACATCTCGGACGCGTCAATATTCGATACCGTTAAAATTCGAGCTACTATAATTAATTATGAATTCTTCGGTAAGAGCTTAGGACGTATAACGTGGAGTTTTATAGCCGACATTGTACACCCTATCAGACTCTAAGAAAATTTAATTAATATTTCGACGTAGCGCTTTAAATATACTCACATAAAAATGTCTAATATGTCTAAAAATAAAATTAATAAAATCTTATTTTATTTTAGGATAAGTATTGTTAAATTTAAATTGGAAGACAGAAAGAAATACAATGTATAAATCATTGTAGATTATATTCTTCTAGAAATAATAAATTATAAATAGCTTTATGTAAAAATATATGCGATATATTTTAATGCAATACGTCGAAAGCTGAAACGTTCTTATCAAAATTGTACAAAGCTTTATTTATCAATTGATATTATCTGCTATATGTCATATATTTTACATTTAAGTCGTGCGAAAATAACAAAATTTATCGTATTAGTGATGGCATTTCTTTAACTTTATACGAGGGTTTATTTTCTGCAGCAACATATATTGCTAGCTGGTTCTCGACAAACGTTCATTGAACGACCAGACTTTTCTCACCTTACAAACTTTAAATCGATTTGATATCGTTCTCTTTATTACTTACACCGTTTCTTACATCCGTTGGTTATACAAAAATATCGATGACGCAATATAGTCGTATAAGAGTTTTGGCAACTTTTTCTTCACCTCAAGAATCACTGAATACCAAACATTATCGAATAACAATTATTTATCTCTCTATATATGCAGAATATATTTTTATATTTTAGGACGAGTTTGAAATCGATTCTGCTTGATACAAATTGACAATTGGACATAATTTTTTTGTAAAACGTTAATGTTTGCTAATTATTAACATACAATTCTAATTCTTAAAAAAACTTGATTGTCGGAAATTTCTATTAGTTAAAAAAGTGCATATTAGCTTTATCATCTCCCCATGTGTTTTTATAAGAAATTGTTATTTTATTACTAGGATAAAATAGCAAATTAAAGTTTGATATCCCGTCCATTCTGTTTTTCTTGGATTACGTCGTTGTCGCTAATCGCCAAGTAGACAAAAAAGACGCTTGAGTGGACGAGTATGGATCAAGTTGGACATCGGCTATCGTATAGCAAGAAGTCGTTGTAACATTTCTTTTGCCCCAGCTGTTTTTCTCACCCGTGCTTTTATGACGGCGGATAATAAAAGTAATACTCGTCGTAAAGAAAATAAAGATGTCTTCTGTATCGAACGTTGCGGCTTCACTATGACCGAAGCTGTTTCTCCACTCGTGACGGCAATTGTGTCGAATATTTTCGGCAGCTTTTACGTTTACTGTGTGCGATATACGAGTCTATTACGTAGGTTATTAGTCTTTAACCACGTTAAAGCACTAAACGTCTAATGTCCGCGTCGAGAAAGATAGAGAAATTGTGTGTATCGCTATGATAATCTGGTGATAAAATACTTTAACTTCGCATTTGACATTTTTAGTGTGTAATATAAATCTTACAAATATATTCTTCATAATATATTAATTTATTTTTGATTTGTATTTATATTTCTTTCATCGTGTATTTAGAATATGAATGCATAGCTCCATGTATAGCAGTATGATTTATGATATCATCGGATGCTTGTTGTTGTTATTATTAATGGTACTATTTGTAATATTATGATCAAAATGATTTCTACATGATTACTTGATTACTACAATTAAACGTTATTTATGCTAATATTATTAGCATAAATATAGCACTTTGATTTGATTTTCATTTAATTAATCAATGTATGTATGTTGTCAAAAAAAAAATATTGACGTAATCTATATAATATTTTAATATCATCTAATATTTCCATTTTGGAAAATGTTAATAAGTATCAACAATTTTCTAATTATCTTAGTTATAATAATTCGTATGTAAGATTAGTTTGCATAAAATTTGTAAATTTATCATAAAAAATTTTTACGCCATAAGATAAAATATAATAAAATTTGAATTAAATTATTTTATTGGATTGGATAGAAAATTAATTGTTTTCAATTCTTCAACACAAATTTCATTATCTTTTTTTTTAGAAACAAAGTTTTATGTCTTTATGATTTATTATTATTATCCAATAATAAAATTTATTTTGATTGGTCGAAATATCTTTTGGAAAAAATTTTCTTTACAACGAGGAAAATTTATAATAATTACAATAATTACATGAAACTATCAGCATTTATTGTGCAAATTCGCTGCATTAATTTTGATTTTTGATATCGTGAAATCAATTTATCTACTTAAATTCTTATCGCGAAATATTACAGGGATACAACAGTTTGATTGTTAGTCAGAACGGAAATTTGAACGAGAAACTAAACGGCCAGCGATCAAAACGGCGTGTGATTTAAGTCAATAGCATGCTGATTTTATCGGCATGCGTGGACATTACGGTCTCGTGAGATTAAACTGCTTTCGATGTTGCGTGTTTACTTCTCACGGTTACGCGTTGTTTCGGGAAAACAAGCCGGTTTATCCGATTTACGTTTATCGACGACAGATCCGACAAATTTGGAGCGCGCCGCGCATCGTCATGCCGGGATTGCAAACGCGTGTAACGGAAACGGAGGTGGAAGCGTCACGACAGAGGGTCCAGGCAAAGGAGGAGGCAGTGCTTAACGACCGTCGTGGCACGACACGGTGACGACGGAAGCGTCGCGAGCGGCCAATTTCCCGGATTTGCCTGACGTTTAATGAATGCCGGCAGACGTTTTGATTTAGGGGACAGTTTCATTCCGAAGCGGAGCACAATAACCGCCAATTTGTAAATCGCCTCGTAAATCTCGACCGTCGCGGCCGCGTTGCGACGCAACGGCGCGACGCCCCGAATCCCGGCTTACACTACTAACGGTCCAATTGGATTAAACTATCGGCGCGTCGTTAAAAGAGATCGACTGGCGGCACTACAGTAATTGTAAACGGTTACGCGACACAGTGCGATATAATAATTGTTATGGCGCCGTTACAAAATCGCGAATAGTACGACACCACTTGGTAATTGGATTGATTTCTGGTAACAAGATATTAACTGACGTCAAGAGTATGTAAAGAACTGTCGTAATATTAATATTTACTGAGAATCGATCTTGCTTATAATTAAACCCTATTTGTTATATTGTAATCAACATTTTTCGAAATCGAAACGACGGAATATATATTAGGAAGACGATAATGTTCTAGGATTCGAAGATAAAACCGAAAATACATAAATATTTAGATTTAATATGATTGCTCTTCTATTTACGTAATATTGGTTCTCATTTAAATGTAGGATTTTAATATTTTTCTATTGAGTCTTGTAATACTGAACGCAGTGTATTTGATTTGCTTATTCAATCTTATGTGTTTACACGTTATGTTACGAATTTTCTGAACTAACAATAAGAACAAATAAATGTCAATTCAAGTTTTACATTATTTTATATAATTAATAATAAAAACTATAATGTGATTAAAACATAATAGAAAATATTATTCTGACAAAATTTTTAACTCGATTTTAATTAAGAAAACTCATCGCTGAAAAAGAAATTATTGCTTAAAGGATTAATATCAAAATTTTGTTTCTACTTTGGTATACATCTCATGACTATTCGACGTTCGGTCTCTCGGATGCTCGTTTCTCGAGCGTAAACATAGCTGTGTATGTCCTCAAAGTTTAGCATGCACTAACTGCGGTCTTCACCGAATAGACGTGACATAACACGAGGATACCTGAAGTACGTGTCTCCTTACGTGACACGCTTACGTATTTGCATATAATCAAGACATCAATAATTAACAATTCTTCATACGTATTTTCTTCGTGACAGATATCATATCAAGCTATGATAGATCAACTTTCGCGATTAATTTACTTGCATTTTTATTAGATACGAAATTGTGGATTTTTATATATTTCAAATCAAAATTTTGAAAACAGATGATATTTTAATTATATTTTTTTCGCAGATTTTGAAACAAATCCATGTGTTACATCTAATAGTTATCATATGTTTATACAATCTTTTTACATTATATTTATTATTGTCTGTGTTCTATATTATTGCAAATAGAAATGTTCAACCTCAACGGAAAATTGCCCGTAGCTATACATACTCAGCGTTTTTCCATGAGCCTGTCATGAACAAATTTTCGAGAAAAATAGATAAAGGAACGCGAACGTTATATAACAGTGTTACGTAACTGAGTTTGCTAATTATGGAGCGAGCGCGATAGTAGAAGTAAATTCTCAGGGCTGTGGTGACGCAGGCCGTTTTACTCGAGTATCAACATAGCATCGTTATGGAAATCCTTGTTATATATCCAGTAAAACTCGTGATAACATTATGAATTGCGCATTACGCGCGTAATATTAGAAGGCTCTTTGCACTTTAAATATCCGTATAATGGCTTGCAAAAACTTTCGCTGCACTGCGAGCTTTATCTAGAAAATATCTAGCTTGTCTCGACGGATATCTACATATATATGCGAAAAACTTGCACAGTATATGTATATATAAATAATGGGGAAATACTAAAAAATATATATCACAGGTGTAAAGATATAAAAATTTAAAAGATACATTTACTTTATCTCTCTCTTTCTTAAATATTATATCTTATAATTTATAATTAAACACTATTAAAAAGAGTATAAAAAATAATAACGCTATCAGAAAAAAGAGCACGGAAATGTCGAATAATATATTAATTAATAGAAAATTTATATTAATCCAATTCAATTCATTATGCAGGAATTCGCAGTTGTAAGAAAAGTAGTAGATATGAAATATCCTTGTGTTGCATTACATTGATTCAGGTTTATAAAGATAAATATTGTATGTTAGAATTGAATATACACCACTTTCGTTTCTATATGTCGGTGCATATGTATATCAAATGAAGAGTATCAGCATACTCAAATTAAATAAATAGAATTTTTATTCCCAGCGTTTCCATTTATCAATATTTTCAATAACTTCTATATTTCCAATATTTTCTATATATCCATATTGCTCAGCTTGCGTTCGTGATGCGTTAAATATTGTGATCAGCTTGTTTCATTCATAATCATCTTTAGCCGATTTGATCTTCCTACTTGAGATGCCATTGATAATTATTGAAGCATACCAATATTGAATACGAACTTGAATCGCGAATTGCAGTTGCGTCTTATCGATACATATTTCAAATATCGATAAGTCTGATTAACATTGGACATTCGTTAATTACCTCGTATCCTCGTATTACATTGACTTAGTCATGCGTTAATGATTTCACTGCTGTGTGCGTTTCCGACCAATCGGCATATTGCAATATGCATTTGGTCACGTATACATCACGTTAGATTGGCGTGTGCATACGTTCTCCGCGCTTCGTGCATTGTGCTGGATTTATATCGTGCCTTTAATGATAGAATAGGATTATTTACTGAGGACCACTAATAACTCTGCGCGAGATCTGTTTGCTCGCCGACAACAGCAGCGTGTAACGATCGCAGCGCACTATGTCATTAATGATAAATACGTTTTATCACTCACGTTTTTATGTACTTCCCACACGCCTACCTCGTTTTACTTCATTTCACTGAAAAGAGCTAGCTAAGTTAAGAGAGAGTGCCGTAAAAAAAATATTTGATAAAACTCGCCACTAGTTCTTCTGTCGCCTGACCGATCTCTTTTTTGCTTTTTACAGATTATCTTTGGAATTTGAAGAGGGGATTTCTCGAGAGAAAAATGGCAGATCGACAGAGAAGGAGTCGGTACTTGACCATCAGTATACTGCATATTATCACAATAATGTGTCAAGGTATGTGGAGTATATTTTAACGTACTTTAATATTGGAATGTTCAAACGTGAGGTATTTTTTATAAAGTAATTTTCCCAAGGGTACATAACAAAAATACAATATAACTGATTAAATGTGCCGTAAGGCATAAATGTTCGAATGTATCTCTACGCTTCCGATAAATTTAATTTCCCGGTTTACACGTTATTTACACAGTGACAAATATTACGAGTTCCATTTGCGTTTCGATCGTGAATATCGCGATGCAATATTCGAATTTGTATGTGTAATGCAGAATTGGCATTATTTTCGGCATTCTATTGTAATTTATAACAAGCTTTGACTTCGGCAATTATACGTTGAATTGCTGCCAAGGGTGAACTTGATTACTATAATCCGACGATGAATAATATCGAAATGTTATTGCGGCTCGATAAGGCGCGATTGTGCTATCATTAGGATCGTAACGATCATTTGTAGCATTGGGGCAATAACGCAAAATAGCGTACATAGATTAATTATACAGGTTTGTTACATACGAACAGTAGAAGACGATTGTGGCAACATCTGCTAGAATTCTAGCGAAATAGTACAGTTCTACTGCAGGTGTTATTCCCTAAATTATTGTTTACTGCGATAGTTAATTGTGAAAATTTCATGTTTTTGTCTTCGAGTTTTAATCGAGTTATGCGTTACATATCGCTATATTCCGGTTCTAAATCGATTAACAAAATCTCATTAGAGAAGTGCGAATTTTCAGAGAGTAAAATGTTTTGCAAAATATATAAATTTTCATTTTTTATATTTACCGTATCTGCACTCGAGCAAGATTATCGATTTTGATTCAGAGATTGTGTGATATATTGTGTCTCGAAAAATGAATAGAATAATCATTTAAGAAATGCGCTCTCGCGTTTAACGCACATTGCACATCTTTAATCATCGGCGTTAATCAATCTTCCGTTCAGCATGTAATATTTCGCTGCGTTGTCGTTTTTCGCTCGTTCATTGAGAAGTTGAGGATATCTTTGAATCTTATTTTAGAAGCTCGTAATTATCGCTAAATAATAAGCTTTAGTCTCTTTCTCTCTCCCTCTCTCTTTTGTTCAGTTTCTCTAATAAGATGTATTAAGGAACGCCATGGGATGAACTTTGTTTTGCTTTAGTGGCTACTTTCCAAGTTTTAAACGATTTAATGCAACAATATCTACTTTATTCCAAAGACGCCTGGCCAAGCGAGATGAAAGGGAGACTGACTAAAAATGAGGGAATGAAATAGGACTACTGAAGATATGAAATAAAAGATCATGTTGAGAGAGACAAAAAAAAAAGAGAGAGATAAAGGTAGACTGAAACACAGAATAGCGAATGCTTTGGATTCCGAGTCTTCCGAGAACCGGCGAGGAATATCCGTGTTAAATTGGATTTACGCGTCTACTGATATAACTTTGTAATATTGTAATTAAGAATACAACGCCCCCTTGTGTAATAAATTTCAGGAACGTTGCCGGAGTCGGCACTAGTTCTTTGCTCTCGCGCAATGTTAAAGTGTGCTTGCGTTAGGTATTTTTTTTATATTTTCATGTATGTCATATATAACAAAGAATAAGTTATAAAACACGGATGATGACGAAAATAAATTTAAATTCTTAAAACTCTGATTTATATATATACATATTAGGGTAACTGAATTTCTAGCAATCTATCAAAAATACTATACTTGAATGACATACAATATTCACTCAGTATATGTATACACTTGACGTTTCGTAATTATTAATTCCCATTTTTTTTCGCGATTAAGAGGTTTCTGCTGTTCTGCAGTTATATGACGTATTGCTCGGCGATATTACATCAATCTCACGAATGCCACGTGATTTTTGCAGTAACAATTCTGTCATTTCCCTTTCCGATTGTAATATTATTGAAACCTTTCATGCTTTCTCTATACAATAGAATAAAAAAGAAAATTTTTTACTTATATTGCCGTAACATAGTTTCATTGTCAACCGCGATTCAGCTACCTTTATATAAAGTTGTGTAACTCGTTACATCACTTTGAGATTTTCGCCTCGGGCGGGCGTTTGTGTTCAATGTGTCAAGAGCAGCGATAGCGCGCGTTCATCGTTGTCTCGGATGCTTTGCAACGCTGATTTCTAATTTCTATCTCAGTGTCTGGTTGTTTAAAATGTTGATATTTCCCGTTATAAGACTAATGATAATTTTTTTCCGATCTAAGCTAATAATTTTTGAATGCTTACAACAAGTGGGAGAAACATTAAATTATTTTAAACAATACATTTTTCATAAAAATTTTTAAATGTTTTTAAACAAAATGAATATAAAATTTTTTAACGGTTACAGACTTAACGTTTGCTTTTATTTTTCGTAAGAGTTTTAATATTTGATTTGTATTTAAAAATTACGTTCTATACATATATATTTTTCCTCTTATTTTCACGTCATTTTTACTAATGATTTTCGCAATTGCAAAAATCAAAGTTATTATATTTTGTTTCTGTATTATGGATCGCAGAAAACTGATATTGAGGTAGTTTCTTCCGACTCAATTTTACATGCATATTTTTTGAATGCTCGCGGGTATATAAATGAATATGTATACACGGCGTGCGTTTGTACTTGGCAATTATGTATCATCTGCGTACTCGAAGCGTTTTACGCATTGTTATCATTTTTTGATTATAAGTCGTTTTTTTCTTGATAAAATTATTCAGGATATCTTATTATTTCTTGTATTCGTTTGATATACACGTTTTTTTATTCTTAATTTTACTTTTAGGTTGATAAAAAAAAAACATACAAACAGAAAATTTAAGATAAAGTTCTCGCAATTAAATTTTAATTTTGCACTAATGCATGTAAATTTGGAAAATGATGATATAGATGAGAGGTGCGAAAGCTCTCAGAATATCGATATTGCGGGATCGTTGCGTTATTCCAGATCGGCCTAAGCAATGCCCGTGCAATTTGTCAGCAGCTGTCTATGATGATAGCGAGCACCGTAATTTCGTGTCGCTTTGAGGCACTAATTTAAATACATATTAATACAACGCGTGTGTATACGCAATATCCGCCTGATGTGACACAGAGTAGTCACGGACGGCGGACTTTGGCGGCGTGTGAGCATGACTTTGCGTGCCAGCCAATCAACATGCCGGGCTATGCATTCGAACGAATCCTGCCGGCTTGCACAGCGAATAAATTCGAATATACTGAGCACTCTCGCGTTACGCGCAATAATGTCAGTTTAGCGGGCGGACCTGAATGGAGCAATGAGACTATGCAGAATGGCATTATGATGCACGTTACAGCGCAGAATTCATCGCAAAATACCACTTAAAGAAGATATTATTATCGCAAATTTTAATCCTTAATCTCTTAGCATGCTATTCTTATTTTATGTAGCACAGGCTCTTAAAAGCTTTGCATATCATTGTGAGAGTACTTTTGCAAAATAATTTTAATTTGTCCTTCAAAGACAATCAAAATATGTTTAAAAAGATGTTGTGTCAGCCAGAGTTAAAGGAATTGGTACGATGTTGAGAATTTGAGAAATCCGGATCTTTTTATTTCTCTCTTTCTCTCTTTCTCTTACATATTTTAAAAATTATACTATATATGATGGAAATAATCTAAGTTTGGCAAGCGATGATAAAAAAAAATGCGATCTTTTTTAATTATGAAAAATAATTTACGTTAAAAATATATATCTAGTTTAAAATCTATCAATTATTTATAACCGGAGTTATTTTTGGATGCGATGAAATAATACGCAGAAATTTAGCGGTGGATTATTCTTTGTGCTATAAGATTTGATATTTATCAATCTGAACGTGCAATTCTTGATTGAATAATGCGAACTGTAAAGTGTAACAACTCGAAGAACTTCCAATTTAACAATAAAAATGTACTTTATAACTTATAATGATCGTAAGTGATAAATTGAAAGTGATAAATTGAATAACTGCTAAGATAAAGTGACCTCAATTTGAAAATAGATGTTAAATATATCTAGAAGTACTTTCGGCCCGTGACATTTTCTACGAACATTTTCGACAGTAAGACATGACTTTTATTTATACTGAATAATGTATATTCACTATATTTTATAAAGGACAAATTATTTTAGATAGCACATTGTATTAAAATTTTTACAATATACGAAAATAATATTGAATAATTCGATATGATTATATTTCTCCAATTACGTTAATTCGAATTTTTTCTCATCCGGAAAAGATATTGTTATTAGCAATAAGACATATTGATCGCTTGTATATAAAAGCTCTCTTTTGTGTATAAGAAATTTTTATATCTGTCATACTTCGTTTCGGGAAGAGTTTCGCGAATCGTATAAATATAACTCATTCATAAATTTGATATAACATTTCCATGTATCGAGTTTAATCGACTACGATTCTTTTTTTTTTTTAAGACAAAAATATTTACGACAATACAAGATAAAAATAAATAATATATCAAAAAATTAAATAAAATATTTTAATTTTATAATAACATAGACAGTTATATTTCTATATTTTTTCATTTTATATAATCTTAACTTTTCATATATTATCACATATTCACATTTATTAATCTTTACATGTATAAAGAATAACGGATAATTTTTTCATTATTAATTTTTATCCATTTTTTTGTCATTATATATCACATTTTAATTAAGTGAAATCAAGGTAAAATGACAATATTCTCAATAAATATTCAAAAATATTATCAGTGATCTGTGACAAGTTCTCACGGAATCCGTCAAAATTTGCTCGTCTTGTCGGACTCAAATAAAGGGTGTTTCTCGCGCGACTTCGTTTCTTTTGTCATTGTGGCGAATGGAAAAACTTCTGGTATTCCCCGGTCGGTAGTATAAGATCGTAGATTCTTGATGCAGCCTTTCTACTAAAGAAAGAGAAATAGAGGAAAAGCAAAGGGAAAATACCTTGGAAAAAGTACCTTAGCTACTGCGCCTTGGGAAAGGTAGAGGAAT